GGGTTGCATTAGGTAATCGGTAGCTAGCGTAAAATTTGTCGAAAAAATCATGACATGAATCCTTTTGATCATGGTGTAAGTGTCAGGGCGTCCCCTGGAAGAGACGAGTTGTATGATTTAAATACAGTGAAAAGTGTGCAAGGGCAGCGTCAGGGTGTAGTATCAAATAAGCAAAGGTTCCCACATTATGAATGGATGTGGATAAAGAAGTTAGTCAATTAAACTAATATTAGAATATGATCTTGGAATATATGTTCTCTTTATAATAAATTAATAAAATTAGTTGATATTATGATTCATAGAAAGATAAATATTTTATGTATTCAAGAAACTAAATGGGTTGGAGAAAGAGCTAAGGAGATTGATAACTTAGATTTTAAACTTTGGTATTCTGGTAAGAGTCACACTAGAAATGGTATGGTTGTAATTATAGATAAGAGTTTGAAAGATAATGTTGTAAAAATTAATAGAGTTCGAGATAGAATTATAGCTCTTATGACTATTGTTAATACTAAGATTTTTAATATTATAAGTGTTTTGCTCTTCAAGTAGGTTTAGATATAGATTCTAAAGATAAATTTTGGAATAACTTGAAAACAATACAAATAATACCTCTTGAAGAAAGAATTTTTCTTGGAGGATGTTTAAATGGACATGTCAGCAGGGTAGTAGAAGATTTTATTAATATTCATGGTGGATACGGTTTTGGAGTGATTAATAAAGAAGATATATTCATATTAAATTTTGTTTTTGTGTGTGATTTTGTTATTACTAATTTTTATTCAAGAAAAGAAATGAACATCTTATTACTTATAAGAATAGATCTAATAAAACACAAATTGATTGCATTCTTATGAGAAGCAGATATCGTCGTGATTGTAAAATTGTAAGATCATTCCAAGTGAAGATTTAAGTACCCAACATCAACTATTAGTTCTAGAGTTTAAGATGAAGAGTCGTAAGATAAAGAATACTATGATTAATCATCGTAGAACTAGATTAGGGCATCTAAAAGACAAATAAAATTATGTTTATGAGTAAAATTCAATAAATTTAAGATGTTCATGAAGAAACTAATTCTATATGGGATAAAGTAACAAATACTATTAAACAAGTGATAAAAGATATATTTGGAGGATCAAAAAAAAACTTTTTATAAATGAAAATAATTGGTGGTGGAATAAAAATGTGCAAGAAAATATAAAACATAAGAAGTTATGTTATAAAATTTGTTTAAATGTAAACACTTAGTAAATGGGAAAAATATCAAACAATCTGCAGGGAGTCCAAAAGAACAATCTGTGACGCCAAAAATTTTGTTTTTGGTGATCATTATAATAAATTAGATACTAAAAAGGGTGAAAAATATATGTATAAACTAGTCAAATAAAAAGAAAAGAAAAGTAAAGATTCAACTCAAGTGTATTAAAGATGAAAATCAAAAAAAGTTTTTCTTATAAAAGAATATTCAACATAAGTGAGTGAGTTACTTTGATAAACTTTTAATGAAGTTTTTGAAAATATGATCGACCTTAGTGATTTTAATATCATTAATAATAATAAAACGTTTCAATTTTTACCGTCGCATTAGTAAAAAAAAAGTTGAGAAGGCTTTCCAGAAAATCAAGGGTGGAAAGTCTCTAGAACCTGATGAAATCCCAATTGAGGTGTGGAAATATTTAGGAGATTTGGGAGTTTCTTGGCTTACTAAATTCTTTAATATTATTTTAAAAACTAAAAATATACTTGAGGAGTGGAGGAAGATTATTTTGTTCCCCATTTTTAAGAATAAAGAGAATGCACAAGAGTGTGCAAATTATAGAGGAATTAAGTTGATTTGTCATACTTTAAAATTATGGGAGAGGGTAATTGAATATAGGTTAAGACGTACTACAAAGTTTTCTCATAATCAATTTGGATTTATGTCGGGCAGGCCTACTATGGAAGCTATACATTTATTGATATACATTTATTGATATACATTTATTGAGAGATTTGATGAAGAAGTTCAGAGATAATAAGGAGAATTTACATTTGATTTTTATTGATTTAGAAAAAGCTTGTAATAAGGTTCCAAGAGATATTCTTTGGAGAGTACTTGAGAAGAAAGATGTTAATGTGACTTATATTCAAGTCATTAAAGATATGTATATTAGAGCTATTACTTGTGTTCGAATAAGAGGATTGACCAAATATTTTCCTATTTTGTTGGATTACATCTGAGATTGGCTTTAAGCCCATATCTTTTTGCTTTAGTTATGGATGATCTTACCAGACATTTACAAGAGAATGTATCTTGGTGTATGTTTTTGCTGATGCTATACTTCTCGTGGATAAGACGAGAGAAAAAGCCAAGAAGAACTTGAATTATGGAGGTCTACATTGGAGTTTAACTACATTGGAGTTTAAAGGCCTTCTTTTAGTAGAACTAAAACTGAATGCATGGAATGTAATTTTGGTAGTAGTAGCTTAGTGACAGAAGTGTAACTTTGGGTGATCAAATAATTAAAAGGTGTGAACGATTTAGATATATCGGATCTATTGTTCAAAGTGATGGTGATATAGATGGAGATGTTATTAGTAGAGTTCAAGTTGGTTGGTTGAAGTGGAGGAATGCTTCGGGCATATTTTGTGATAGAAAATTACTGCTTAGACTGAAAGAAAAAATTTATAAGATGGTGGTGAGATCTGCAATGCTCTATGGCGTTGAATGTTGGCCTTTAAAAGAGAAGCATAATACTAAGTTAAGTGTTGCTGAGATGAGAATGATTAGGTGTATGAGTGGCTCCAGTAAAGCATTTACACTTAGAGACAATGCGAAATGAATATCCGTGATAGGGTTGGTGTAGCTCCAGTGACGGACAAAATTAGAGAGAGACAACTTAGATGGTTTGATCACATTAAACGTCGACCATCTGATGATCCGATTAGGAGAGTATAGGTTTTAGATTCGACTTATGCTAAAAAAGGCAAAGGCAGACCTTTAAAAGAGATCTGCAATGCCCTATGGTGTTGAATGTTGGCCTTTAAAAGAGAAGCATAATACTAAGTTAAGTGTTGCGGAGATGAGAATGATTAGATGTATGAGTGAGTGGCTCCAGTAAAGCATTTACACTTAGAGACAAAATGCGAAATGAATATATCCGTGATAGGGTCGGTGTAGCTCCAGTGATGGACAAAATTAGAGAGAGTCGTCTTAGATGGTTTGATCACATCAAACGTTGGCCATCTGATGATTCGATTAGGAGAGTATAGGTTTTAGATTCGACTTATGCTAAAAAAGGCAAAGGCAGACCTAGGAAGATTTGAGCTTATTGTATAAATAATGATCTTAATTTATTAGAATTAAATGAAAATATAACACTAAATAAGACGCAAACACTAAATAATATAACACTAAATAAGACGCAATGGAGAAAAAGGATTCACGTAGCCGACCCCGCCTAATGGGATTAAGGCTTTGTTGTTATTGTTGTATTCATGCGCCAGCATTTAGACATGCATGTATTTATGGATGTATGAATGAAAGAATGCATGGAAGACTAAGAATGCCTTTGAAGGTCAAAATTAAAAAACAAATAAAATTTTGATTTTGCTTTTATCAAAATTAATAAATGCGATTTAAAATGAATCAAAACTTTATTGAGTCAATGTAATTAGGCCTAGCTCTACGCGAGATTGAACCGAATAACCTTAAGATGAGCTTATGTCGAGGATGAAAAAGGCTAAAAATTGGATCATTCACAAGTATAAACTTTATTAGCTTAATCCTAATGATTCAAGTCTGCTTTATTAATCGTTCTTTAACATTAATTTTTATTGAATGTTAAAATATTGACTCAAATTTAAATGCCTTTTATGCAACTCCTACTTAAAATATATTAAATATACATGTTTTTTTCAATATCTTTCACACAATTCTTCATCCCCATCGTATTCATATACCTTCCATACCTCCTTATGCAAGCCTAAACCACCAAAGTTTATTTTAAACTACTTTTTCTTCAAAATGTACTTCTCTCACTATCTCTCTAATATAATCATTTCACCATCTCTCTAAAATAATCATTTTCACTATACCCTTCTTAGTTTTTCCACGAATCCATTCTAGCATTTTTAACTCTATCACGAATCCATTCTAGCATTTTTATTTATGCCACCACAGCTTGGCAATCAGTCACTTCTTTTTCTTAAAACACCAAATCCATGAGGCAAGAGTGGCCTAGAAATATTTCCAAAAATCTACCTTCAAATCTAAAATGATATTTTACATTATGATTTCCTCATAAAAGAGCTTATGTTTTGTCTCCATTACACATTAGAAACTAAAACAATTTGACAATAGCGATAGCGGTTAATCTTTTTTAATAGTTTTTAATAGTTTTTTTTTTTTAATCTTGAAAATATAGGCTTCCGCGCCATAGTAAGACTTACATAAAACACACACAAGCCCAAACATTGCCATGAAGCCTCATGCCTAAAGTATGCCCGGCTACGCTTCTGCATTTTTTTTACTCCATATGTTACCTCATAAGAAAATGAAAAATAAGTTGAACCTCTCAAAATGGTAGAATTTTTTTTTTATTGAAACTAATGGTAAATTCTTTTCCCTGAAGCTGAAGGACAGCCAATGTGGAAGTGTCAATACAACCTCAACAGCAATTTAAATTAAAATCAAGAAGCCCGACATTAATAGACCCAACAATGGGGTGATTTAAACCCAATTGCACAAGTGAGCTAACAAACCCACTGCATAGAAGAGATTGATTGTGATTGATCACCTGTAACCCTAACAGCCCTCTTGAAACAAAAAATATAAACCTAATCTTGGAACACTATATATATATATATATATATATATATATATATATATAGTGTATACATGCATGCACTTTGGATGATTATAAATGATCCTTGTACTTCCCATGAATAGATACGGTTTGTCATAAGTTTAACATCAGAAAAATATTAAAAAAAAAAAAAACAAAGTCCAGACATACCTTCATTCTACGCTCCCTCAGAGCATGCAATCCAGCTTCAGTGCAGATCGCTTTTATATCAGCTCCAGAAAACTCATCCTTTGTCATGACAAATTCTTCCAAATTGACATCATCAGCCAGTGTCATCCTGGAAGTATGTATCTACATGCAAAGACATATCAGTAACATGGATAATAAAGAGCATCTGTCAGAAACTATTAATCAAATATGTTTGGTTGACTTTGAAATTGCACAAGTGCCTATGTGCTAGTGGGTATCCATGTAAAAGCAAAATATATGATAGTTTATTCTGCATTTCAAAGGTTTATCATTCATAAGCTACAGGAAATTTAATCTTCCAATTGTATGACTTACGGAGACCTAGTGTACTATATAATAAAACAGTAGCGCACTTATACCTGAAAAATCCGTCTACGTGTTTTAATATCAGGAAGAGGAAATTCAATTTTCCTATCAATGCGTCCAGGTCGAAGCAAAGCTGGATCCAGACTTTCAATTCTGTTTGTGGCAAGAATTACTTTAACATCGCCCCTTGAGTCAAAACCATCTAACTGATTCAACAATTCCAACATAGTTCTCTGTATCTCACGTTCTCCGCCCGAATGAGCATCATATCTAAACAAAATCCAGCTCAAGTTAGATGCATTAATGATGATTTTAACATATGATCAACAATGTTTTAAGTATCTTTAGAAACTCTCATAGAACCTTTTAGTGCCAACTGCATCTATCTCATCAATAAACACTATTGATGGAGAAAGATCATCAGCTACTCTAAAGAGTTCCCTAACTAATTTTGGACCATCCCCTAAGTATTTCTGAATCAATTCACTTCCAACAACGCGCAGGAATGTTGCAGAAGTTGAGTTGGCCACAGCCTATAATAAAAATAACACATAATTGGCACACAAAAAATTAAAAAATAATTAAAAAAATGACTCTAGATCATTACAGCAATATTATAAAGTTCAGGTACACAAAAAAAGTACATCCTTAAGGATTCAGAATTTTCTGAATTCAAGGTGGCACAACAAAACTATCAAATATGGATCAAGGAATCGTGCAGTGGCATACTTGTATAAATGTACAGGTATCAAGGAATATCAATGCAGTCACTCGAGTAAAAAAAAATATACAGAGAAAATAAAAAATTGAAAAAAAAAATCACCAAATATGAACATGTTGGTACAAAAGGAAAGTACAATTATAAATTTCAGGAAAAAAAAAAGCAAATCACCCATTTATCATGTTTAGTGCAAAGCAAGAGACAAATAATTTACAAATTCATGTTCTATTCTTTACTCTAGAAAATGCATCTCATCATGATCTACAAGTACTAGATATGCAAAACACACACACACACACACACACACTGGTTGTATTCAACTCAAGAATAAGCTTAAGTTCTACTAGTTTTTTTAGCTCATTTACTTTCTTAAAGCCTAAAGAGACAATCACATTGTTCGATTGTTTTCAAATCAATAAAGCTTTATTATGTCTATGCATACATCAAATATGCATATATGTATGAGTATTTGTGTATGCATATATGCAGGAATACAAGCATACATGCATACACTAAGGATATTATATATGATAATAAATATACACTATAATTTATATAATACTTTTAAATAGTTTCTATGATCATAAATAGCTACATTTAGCTTAATAAATAAATGAGCTAAATACAGACAAAAATTTTTTGCTCACTTAATGAGTTGAGTCCACGGTATACTTAAAATCGCTCAAGCTAGGCTTGTTTACACTTCATGTAAAGCTAAATTGAGAGACTTGCATTCTATCATAGCATGATTTTTATAGCTCAAATGTACGCTAGAGAAATTTGACGGAAAGAGATGAACTCTCTCAAATATTATGGCAAACAAAACATTTTAATTCGCTAACACAAAACAACATAACCCGAATACATAACAGATAAGCACCTAAAATTCAAGAGATATGCGAACTCTCCTAAATCTTAATCCCTACAACTATAATTCGAGAGGTTGGCGATCTATCCAAAATCCTAAATTTCAATACAACAATCACACATAACATAACATAACCCTAAACATATTAGTCATATTTACACCCCACAATAATTACTAACAAATGACTAGCCTTCCCCCTTTTAATCTTACGCCTAACAAAAGTTTTCAAATTATTTTCGCAGACTCGGTGTCGACTCATTGGAGCACAAGGTAGACGGCGTTGTAGATGCCAATCTAACAAAATCTTTTTACACAAGTAAATATGGATCACAATATTATGTATACTTTAGCAAAAAGCTTTGTTTATCCTCACAAGGGGCAGATTCATTATTGACATGATGCGTTGTAGCTGCATAATCATCAAGCGCTCACGGACGATTGCCACATACTTCTTCGCCTGGATAGGTTTGGCCCAGAAAAGGGAGGGATCGACCGGTCCTTCCAAGCATGAGCTTCCCTCCTATTTGGAGTAGGGTAACCAATCCTTTATCCTAGGACAATAAGTATGTTAATTTTGTGTTTTAGGTTAATTTTTCTTTGTGTTTTTAGTCAAGACGGCCGTCGACATCCAAATTTTCCCTTATAGGGTTTATCCGAGGGGGAGTGGCACTCTGATTGAATCTTGTTCCTAGGTGGTGACTCTCCCCCAAGGGTCGAGTAGTGTTATGATTGTCTCGCTCCAGAGGTGGTGTTTATCCTTCCCCAATTCCTCCACATCCCACACGCTTCACTGCCACGCACATGTTATAGCCGCTTCGCTGCCACTCAAATGTTATAGCGGCTTTGGTAGCCACAACCCAACTATTTTCCACAATTTGTACACTCCCAATCGCCCCTCCCTGCTGCCAGCCCACCCAGAATTCTTTGTCCTGCGTCCTTGTTGTTGTTCCAACCGCCATAATCATTTGTGTTGTTGTTCCAGCCATTAAGAATCATCCCACTTGTCGCCTCCTCGCTGCCAGTTGTTCAAAATCATTCCACCAACACCCCAATTGCTATCCCAGCCACTTGGAACCATCCCCCTTGTCGCCTCCTTATTGCCAGCTACTCGCAATCATTCTTCCTACAACCCGATTGTTGAACCTCCTCATGCCTGTTCAAGCAACTTTGAACCACCTCTAATCATCCTTTCTCCACTGTCCAGCCCACCTACTGCCTTGATGCCAACCTTCCAAGTCCTTCGCAGTCACCACCACATTCCTAGGTCTGCCCTAGTCATGTTTGTTGCTATTTTTATTTTCGCTTGTTGGTTATAAAAGCATATGATCTTTTGCAGTAATAATATTTGTTTGCTTATTGTCGTTTGGGTTAACTCTAGTATCAAACGATATCCTGGGGCAAAATTTCATCACATCGAAAACAAAACTCCTTTGCTCACTTATCCTGAATCTTTATCTCTGTAAGGCAACTGAATGTCGCCCCCAATCATGGCCCGTTATTCTTGACCAATGGAACTTCCGCTTGGACTTTTACTGCTTAAGTTATTGATGTCGTTGTGGTTATAGCATTTTAGCATGACGCTCCATACGTACATGTGAGAATACACATAACTTACAGCTAAGTTAGCCAATAATGGAGTTTTCGTTCTTAGGTAAGGAGGATATTATAAATGTTTTTATCTGATATACCATTCAATTACAAAAAAATTATTTCCCATAGGATAATAATCAATTGCATTCATCCATCCACGACATTCAGATGTGCAGTGAGTATACAATCATGAACATTCTTCTCAAGTTTCGATGATTTCCAATTTATAATAAAAAGAAAATGATCATCTATTAAAAAAAATGTCGAGTATTTCTACTTTATTGATTCAACAAGCAATATACTAATGATTGGTGCTCCTTCACACCGAGTCATGGAGGAGTGTTGGCCTGGGCCTATTTCTAACATTCCCACACATCAAATCAGTGTCAATGGAAGGCTTCCATGTTCACATGGCTGGATGTGCATTAATTTTTACGAATACACAAAGAACAGGATATTACAGATCTAGCCAACCTTCCTAGCTTCAGCAATTGCCAAAAAGTGCAAAAGAATAAATATTAAAAATAAAAATAATCTCCCAAAATAACCGCATGAAAAATATGTCCAAGGTATCAGCTTTCAAATATTTGAAGTGCATCCAGGAAAGACACTTAAAGTTATTGTAGCAACGAACTAACTTTGGCGAGTAATGTTTTCCCAGTTCCAGGTTCTCCATAGAGTATGACTCCCTTCGGTGGTTTAATACCGATGTCTTCATATAGCTCGGGGTGTGTTAGAGGAAGTTCAACTGCTTCCTTAATTTCCTGAATCTGAGCATCCAGACCACCGATATCAGCATAAGACTCCAATGGCGCTTTCTCTACTTTCATCACTGAAACCATAGGATCAACCTCATCTTGTAGTAGCCCAACAACAGAAAGGACCTAAAAAAGTTTTAAAAATAAGCCACCCATAAGATGTAAAAAAAACTTAAATAATCCAAATTTCACATAAAAAACAGGAAGATGACAAGAAAACAGTAGGATTGGATAAATTTATTAAATATCGGAGCAAACAGAAGAATCGACAAAAAGAAGATAGCTTGGTGATGGATTGATGCTCAATGGCCAAGATTACATTGACTATAATGATCACAAGCCATCACTAAATCAATCCCTTTTTATTAGTCTACAAATCATAAAATATAGATTGTACTGCAAAAAATAATGTGATTTCATGCCACAAAACTAAACTTTGAATGGGTAATAATCAAAAAAACTTTTTTTTAGAAACTGTATAACCATATACAGAAACTTACGACCATAATCTGCAATTCAAATTAAATCATCATGAAGCCATTTGCCACAAAAATAGTAAGTACATATTGCTGATGTAAATAAATAATAATAAGTTCTGAATCATGCCTGCCACAACTATTCTTACACGCATAACATTTACCCAATCAACTTGCCGTAATAGATGCAAATGACGCACTCACACCGTACTATTCCACTTTAATGCCATATAGGGTACTACAAGCTATATTGTATAAAAATAAAAATAAATTTAGACCCATGCCTGCCACAACTATTCTTACACGCATAACATTTACCCAATCAACTTGCCGTAATAGATGCAAATGACGCACTCACACCGTACTATTCCACTTTAATGCCATATAGGGTACTACAAGCTAGCTCGAGCAGTCTAAGGAGGATGGTAATCCTAGCTTCTTTTGCTCGAACCTTCTATGATAATTCAACTGACGTCCAATTCCATGCTTTTGATTCAAGATTATCATGCAATAGAAGCAACACAAAATTATATAATTGATTCTTAGCGAATTTCAAAACAGTAGCTTTCTGATAGATACAGAAAACTAAATCAATCCCTTTTTATTAGTCTACAAATCATAAAATATAGATTGTACTGCAAAAAATAATGTGATTTCATGCCACAAAACTAAACTTTGAATGGGTAATAATCAAAAAAACTTTTTTTTAGAAACTGTATAACCATATACAGAAACTTACGACCATAATCTGCAATTCAAATTAAATCATCATGAAGCCATTTGCCACAAAAATAGTAAGTACATATTGCTGATGTAAATAAATAATAATAAGTTCTGAATCATGCCTGCCACAACTATTCTTACACGCATAACATTTACCCAATCAACTTGCCGTAATAGATGCAAATGACGCACTCACACCGTACTATTCCACTTTAATGCCATATAGGGTACTACAAGCTAGCTCGAGCCGTCTAAGGAGGATGGTAATCCTAGCTTCTTTTGCTTGAATCTTCTATGCTAATTCAACTCATGTCCAATTCCATGCTTCTAATTCAAGATTATCATGCACCAAGCCAATAGAAGCAACACAAAATTATATAATTGATTCTTAGCGAATTTCAAAACAGTAGCTTTCTGATAGATACAGAAAATTACGACCATAGTCTGCAATTCAAATTAAATCATCATGAAGCCATCTGTCACAAAACTAGTAAGTACATATTGCTAATGTAAATAAATAATAATAAGTTTTGAACCATGTCTGCCACAACTATTCTTACACGCATAACATTTACCCAATCAACTTGTCGTAATAGATGCAAATGACGCACTCACACCGTACTATTCCACTTTAATGCCATATAGGGTACTACAAGCTAGCTCAAGCAGTCTAAGGAGGATGGTAATCCTAGCTTCTTTTGCTCGAACCTTCTATGGTAATTCAACTCATGTCCAATTTTATGCTTCTGATTCAAGATTATCATGCACCAAGCCAACAGAAGCAACACAAAATTATATAATTGATTCTTAGCAAAATTCAAAATAATAGCTTTCTGATAGATACAGAAACTTACGACCATAGTCTGCAATTCAAATTAAATCATCATGAAGTCATCTGTCACAAAATTAGTAAGTATATATTGCTAATGTAAATAAATAATAATAAGTTTTGAACCATGCCTGCCACAACTATTCTTACACGCATAACATTTACCCTCATCAACTTGCCGTAATAGATGCAAATGACGCACTCACACCGTACTATTCCACTTTAATGCCATATAGGGTACTACAAGCTAGCTCGAGCAGTCTAAGGAGGATGGTAATCCTAGCTTCTTTTGCTTGAATCTTCTATGCTAATTCAACTCATGTCCAATTCCATGCTTCTAATTCAAGATTATCATGCACCAAGCCAATAGAAGCAACACAAAATTATATAATTGATTCTTAGCGAATTTCAAAACAGTAGCTTTCTGATAGATACAGAAAATTACGACCATAGTCTGCAATTCAAATTAAATCATCATGAAGTCATTTGCCACAAAAATAGTAAGTACATATTGCTGATGTAAATAAATAATAATAAGTTCTGAATCATGCCTGCCACAACTATTCTTACACGCATAACATTTACCCAATCAACTTGCCGTAATAGATGCAAATGACGCACTCACACCGTACTATTCCACTTTAATGCCATATAGGGTACTACAAGCTAGCTCGAGCAGTCTAAGGAGGATGGTAATCCTAGCTTCTTTTGCTCGAACCTTCTATGATAATTCAACTGACGTCCAATTCCATGCTTTTGATTCAAGATTATCATGCAATAGAAGCAACACAAAATTATATAATTGATTCTTAGCGAATTTCAAAACAGTAGCTTTCTGATAGATACAGAAAATTACGACCATAGTCTGCAATTCAAATTAAATCATCATGAAGCCATCTGTCACAAAACTAGTAAGTACATATTGCTAATGTAAATAAATAATAATAAGTTTTGAACCATGTCTGCCACAACTATTCTTACACGCATAACATTTACCCAATCAACTTGTCGTAATAGATGCAAATGACGCACTCACACCGTACTATTCCACTTTAATGCCATATAGGGTACTACAAGCTAGCTCAAGCAGTCTAAGGAGGATGGTAATCCTAGCTTCTTTTGCTCGAACCTTCTATGGTAATTCAACTCATGTCCAATTTTATGCTTCTGATTCAAGATTATCATGCACCAAGCCAACAGAAGCAACACAAAATTATATAATTGATTCTTAGCAAAATTCAAAATAATAGCTTTCTGATAGATACAGAAACTTACGACCATAGTCTACAATTCAAATTAAATCATCATGAAGTCATCTGTCACAAAATTAGTAAGTATATATTGCTAATGTAAATAAATAATAATAAGTTTTGAACCATGCCTGCCACAACTATTCTTACACGCATAACATTTACCCTCATCAACTTGCCGTAATAGATGCAAATGACGCACTCACACCGTACTATTCCACTTTAATGCCATATAGGGTACTACAAGCTAGCTCGAGCAGTCTAAGGAGGATGGTAATCCTAGCTTCTTTTGCTCGAACCTTCTATGATAATTCAACTGACGTCCAATTCCATGCTTTTGATTCAAGATTATCATGCAATAGAAGCAACACAAAATTATATAATTGATTCTTAGCGAATTTCAAAATAGTAGCTTTCTGATAGATACAAAAACTTACGACCATAGTCTGCATTTCAAATTAAATCATCATGAAGCCATCTGTCACAAAACTAGTAAGTACATATTGCCAGTTTTCCTAGTTTTCTTACATATAATAATATAGTCAAAATCCAGGCTAGAATCATTATATTTGTGTTTAACTCGCCGCAACTCTTCCTTAGCCAGGCTTGGGCAGAGTAGCAGAGCAAGTACAAGTATGAGTAGCATTGCAAAAATACTTTCTACATCGTCAATATGTTTGCTTGCGATAATTGTAACTTATCAGGAGAATCGATGACTGCATCTTTGATGCACTGTTGAGAATTCTTAATTGGCTATTATAAGCGTCTGATCTATGTTAAAGTATTGAGAGTGATTCTCAAATATTGTAGAACTAAATATGATACGATGAGATATAATGCAACAGATAGAACGAGAGGGAACAAGTTACTTACTTCTAACGATCAAAACTAGTCATTTCGTTCCATTCTTCATAAAAGATTGAAGAATGAATCAAATCTCGCAAAGTCGGAATTGAATCTATGGCAAGCCAACAACTACTCATCCATTGAGTTATTGAAGATAAAGGGAAATCGACCTGATAGAGTTCAACTCTCATTCTTAACCCATGAACAATATGAATCTGAAGCTTCATATTGTAATATTCTAAGATTGATATATTCTTAAGATTGATATATTCTAATATTCCTACTATTTTATATATACCCTATATCTCCCGGTAGGGGAATAGACTTACTTGGAAGACTCTTCTGCGACATAAATTGATTACACAATTGTCATTTAAGATGGGTATGAAAGTTAACTACGTAATTTTCATTTAGAATAGGGTTTGAAGCTATGCAGCTTTAACCAAGAAAGGCTTATGCGTTTTTTTTTTTTTTTTTTTGTCTCCCTCTCTCTTGCCGTTCTAAGTTTCCAACGCTTCATGTAGTCATAATACATACCAGAGCCAGCTAAATATATGCTTAGCATGCTGATGAAGGAATTCAATGGGAATGTGATAGTATAAAAGATGAGTTTTCCTCCGAAATTAGACCAACAATTTTTTTTGTTTCAATAACATCAAACAACACAACGCAAATACATAAAGGATAAACATCTACTATTTGAGAGGTAGGCAATCCCTCCCAAACCCTGACCCTAAGATTCAAGACAACAATCTCATAGCATAACCTAACCCCAAGCATAATGAGTACTATTTATACCTCACAACAATAACTACTAAAAGACTAAATTGACCTTATGCATCAGTCTAACAAAATGTTTACAAAACTATCAAACAAATGCCATCACAAAACAGTGTAAGACATTAGCTTGATGGCAATCGCATTAGAAAAATAAGTATAGAAAAACCATCATAAAAACCCAAATATTATATTCCTGTTCGAGCTTGTTTCTAATTGAAAAACTAGGGCCAGAGATAAGAGGTAACATTTATTAAAAAGCCAACATGACAATTGCTTCTTTTGGTTTCTACTTTCTAACTTTTTTTGTAGTATAAAAAGTATTCAGCAAAAAAAAGGGTGCTTAGATGAAAATAAATTAAACTTGTTCGCTCACTTGCCTATAATTTGCATTTAGAAAAACTGCTCTTGGAAAAACACAATGCAACGGCTGTTAAATTTATGACAACAAAGGCAAAAAATAATAAAACTAATAATTCATATCGAACAAAACATATATATATTATTTACTAAAGTCTTTGGATAGCACAAATTGCAAAAGAGTTCCTAAATCATTGTACTAAAACACATCAGCTAGAGAATATACAAAATCAATAAAGGTGACCTAGAAAAACCAAAACAAACAACAACTTCTGTTTTATAAGTAAGTAAGTTCTCCTATTTGTAACTTTGTACCTAAGATTCTGATCAGCAGGGAAAGAAAGATTGCAAAATTAGAATAGGTGTGCCCTAGACCACCCACCTTAACTAGCTTCATTAGTTGCCACTTCTACTTAGGCATCTTAAGCCTTCAAAAAATATCCACAGACTAATTGCCACCTCAAATAGTAATTTCAGTTACAAGGAATTTTGAATAAAGAATCAATATTTTTTTATCGTATCGTAATCACCATCACCATTAAATTTATCCAAACAAAATGGGTTGGTTTAATTAATCGTTCCTCTGCTTTATTACAATTGAAAGCAGATGAGATGTAACTCTAGTGCATGTGAATATATTCAAAGAACATCTACTCATGCTAACCTTTTCTCATTTATAGTCCCCGCACGCCTATGTCATCTAGCCATCCTTTTAATGTAGATTCTACATCCCTTGTATGTCACTAAACTACTTAAATTTAAATTACACTAACTTCTCTGCAGAAGAAACTACTTTTAATTACTTAATAAAATCATTTCTCACTGTCGTCCTTCCCAGTTTTCCCACACATCCATTTTGACATTACAGTTATAGTTCATATTAAACCAATTAGCCGCCAATAATCCCCTCATTATCCAACGTTTTTTTTATCGTTGCAGTCCATATTAAACTAATTTTACGTTCTGCTGCAAACAATTTACGGTTTTATTGACCAAGCTTCAAATCCATTATCTAAATGCATCAACAAAATTTTGCACCTAAATAGTGCCAATTTTATTGATTTCAACGCAGAACTGCGAAAAACCTAAATCCAATCTTTCATAACCAGGAAAATCCATCATCAGCCTCTTCTATAACGACTGAAATCTATGGAAATCTTAAAATTTGTCACAAAAAACCGCTGATCAACAAAGCAAATTACTCGCCTTGTTGTGCATGAGGATCGCACACCCAGGTTCCAGCTGGTCCTTGTCCACAAATGACAGAATGCTCACGTAGTACTCGGGTCCAACCGATGAGGATACAATCGCATGATTCTCGTCAATAAGCTCCTCTAGGTTTCCAACGCTCATAGGGGATCCGCGAAGATCATCGACCTTGGATCGATCCTCCTCGTTCTTGTCCTCGTGAGGCTTGAGACGCTCCTGGTTGGTGACGAACTCCTCCTCCATGAGAAGATAGTCTTTGATTCGCTCGAGCTTGAGGAGGCGAAGCTTGCACTTGGTCAGCGGCGCCACCGTAGGTAGTCTAGCGGCAGCCTCGGGGCCTTTCTGCTTGCGCTGCTTCCGTCCGACTCGGGAAGGAGGGGCTGCAGGCTCGAACTTTTTGTCCTTCTTTTCACCGTCGTGTTTGCGGTCGCCGGGAAGGCCTTGCCTGCTCAAACCGCCGGGGGTTCCCTGACCCATGGCTCTTACCTAGGGTTTTCGGTGCAGTGGAGCAAGAGAAAGAAGAAACAGATCTCGCCTGCCACTGCGTCAAACTACAATTTACAAAGCAGTTTAACGGGAATAAAAATTTATTTGCCATGTTCGTCCCATTTAAATTGGAACAATTAAATTATTAAATAATTATTATTATACTTAAAAATAAGCTGATATAACTATAAAAAATATAATTTTAATTATTAAATACAATATATAAATATATAGATTTGAGATCTTCGTTGATAAAATTCTCTTCCTTTATTCTTAGCGTGGCCTTTCACGTTTGACTTATAGGCGTTAGATTTAGAGTCTATTTGGGGTAGCTACAGCTTATCCAACTTATCCCGATAAATTATTTATCTTGATAATCTATCTGGTCATAAGCAGTTGGTCCGGATAAGTTGTCTGTCTGTTTGGTTTGCGCGTTTAGATTAGAGAAATTTAACACATATTTGTGCCCAAAAGAAAACAAAAAGTTATTTAAATTAGAGAAATAAATAAATAAACTACTTTACACACCTATTTCGAACGATTGAATCGAATTCAAACAAATTGAACCGAAAAAATTCATATATCCACAACTAATTTTAAGTGCGAGCCTATTTTGAATAGAATTAGTTTTTAACAATTTGAACTCTCATATTCAGCTCGTTTACATTTATAATTACATGACATCCATTGTTTTAAATAAATGGTCATTTATATACATATTAAATAATTCGTGAGTCTGCTCTATACACATACATATCACTTTCATTTTTTAAAAATAAAATATATTTTTTCATTCATAAATTTATAGCATATAAGTAATTAAATATGAAAATAAAAGCTTGGGTGTTAGGTTTGTAATACATAATAATTGTGTATTATGTATGTAAATTTCTCTAATTCTTAAAACATATTTATTAAAAGATTAAAACCTAATTTTCTATATTAAATTTTGAGCTTGATATTCATATGATATACTTAATTTTATTACTTTCAACTCTATCTTATTATTATGATCTCATCCATTCTGAGAAATGTGATAAATTTATTGTTGTGAATCACAATCATTTCGATCAGTTGATTTGATCAATCATGTGAGGAGTGATAAAACTGAAATTTAAGAAGAGTATGGAAATAATAAATTAAGAGGTGAGGAATATTTATGTTTAAGATGTTATCCTCCTTTTTTTTTAATAATTATTATAAATATAATTAGTATTAAAATATTATCGAGTTTATGAGACAAAATTTCTAGTGTATCATACGATCTTAAGGGTTTGATAAAAATCTAAAAGTGATGAGTGCTTCGCCCAGCTACTCCCTGGTTCCATCACTGAGCTCAAGTTAGGTCTGCATTTTCTTTTACTCTCCTTCCATGGATGTTTTATTGCTCTTGCCAATTATCGTAATCATTTACCCTAATGTTTAAGTCTTTACCATTTTGGCTAATTCATGGACTTGCTTAGTACTAACCAATTTAGGTTGCACACTATGTCTATGAATTTAGAGTGTATAGACAACACAATTATAAAAAATTTAGTAAAAATAGTGACATTATATTTAAAGAAGGGTGTTGGTTATTCTAGGTGCCTAAATGATGCAAACTATTATGAAATATAAAAATGCTCAAATAAGTTTTTTCATAAAAAACTCTAAGAAATATGTTTATTTAAATAACACAAACAAGCTAAATTATAGAATTCAACTATTTCATAAAACAACAATAACAACAAGAAGTCTTTATCCCACTAAGTCGGGTCTGTTGCACAATCCTTTTTTCTCCATTGTGCCCTATTGAGCATTGTATTTTCATTTAATTTTAATAGATTAATATCATTTTTATATAATATGCCCAATTCTTTTTAGGTTTACCTTTGTCATTCTTAACTTAAGTCGAATCTATAAATTATGCTCTCATAATGGAATCATCAGATGGTTTATGTTTAACGTGACCAAACCATCTCGAACGACTCTCTCTAATCTTGTTTGCCACTAGAGCTACACTAACCTTATCACATATATATTCATTTCGCATTTTGTATCCAAATGTGAAAGCGCTCATCCACATAAACATTCTTATCTTACCAACATTTAACTTCGTTTTATGCTTTTCTTTTAAAGGCCAACATTCTACGTTATAGAGCATTACAAGTCTCACAACCATGTTATAAAATTTTCTTTTTAATATAAGAGGTACTTTTCTATCAAACAATAGCCCTGTTGAATTCTTACACTTCAACCAACCAACTTGAATTATGCTAATAATATTATCATCAATACCACAATTACGTTGAACTTCAACCAACCAACTTGAATTATACTAATAATATTATCATCAATATCACAATTACGTTGTCATCAATACCACAATTACGTTGAAAAAAAAAACCTGATATATCTAAAACATTCACACCTTTTAATAATTTTATCACTCGTATTTACAACTCTGTCACTAGAGCTACTACTACTTAAATTCCATTCAGTGTATTCGGTAATTTCAATGATTTTGCCAACTATGTAATTTAGAGTTTTAAGTTTTGATTTATTTTAAACATAAAAAATCCTTATAATATTTCATAAAACTCACAGCCTTAATGTAGTTTGATTTCACTCGTAGTTTCTAATAGTGTGTTAAAGTAAAATGACAAATTTATTATTTTCATTGTGTGATAGGAAATTCACGACAGTATAATGATAATTAACGTCTCAATATTGTATGAAAATTCAACCCGCGCATTAATAATGAAAAAGCAACAAAAGAAAACAAAATGACTTGTTATATGAAAAACCTAAAAGGATAAAAATCACAGAGCTTAACCAAGTCAAAATGACCAACTATAAGTTTGCAAGTATGAAGATGAAACTTCATCTGGCAACTAGTAAAAGTTTATGATGTTACACCAAGTACAATGATTATTCGTACATAGTATACAAAATGATTCATCGTATTCTAAATATTGTTCTAAAGAGTAGCTTTCGCTGAGAATTATCATTGGGTCTTTAATACACCACATTCAAGATACATTATTGCGTAATATTTTGGACATTTTATTGTTCAATAGAGTTATTCGTTACTAAATAGATTATTTCGTTTCTCCATACAAAAATTCGTTACTCAACCAGATACTTTGTTACTCAAAAAGAGCACTCATTGCTCAATAGAGTACTTGTAAGAGGTGTTGATTATCAGGATTGGGTGCCTCCGACACATACTGATTCTCTATTCAGTGGTGTCAACGCCCCTATGGATGTGTTTACTTAGTGATGGCCACGATGACACGACTTATTCAGGGTTCTCAGACCCAAGCAAGTTGTAGTGGAATAGCTCAAGTGGATAAATATTTGAAGCTAGTTCAAGACATACGACCACTGTTATTCTCAGAAGCGTAAAGTTCAATTGAGGCAAAGAATTGGTTGTTGAGAGTAGAGAAAACTATTGGGGATTTGTCATGTCCTTAGGAGAGAAAGCTCGCATTAGCTGCTTTTGTTTTCGAGAGGGAAGCAGATAGGTGGTGTCAGAGTCACCTTCAGAAAAAGTTTGGTAGACGGCCTAGTAATTAGATGCAATGGGAGGACTTCATGAAGACTTTTCATGATTGATTTATTCCTCTTTCAGTCAGGAGATAGATGTAGGATCGGTTCATCATACTGGTGCAGGGTGATTGATCCCTTATGCAGTATGAGGCTTGATTGACAATGTTTGTCCAGGTATGCACCTCAGTTGATCCCAAATGCTGAAGAAAAGTGTCACTGATTCCTCTCTGGATTGAAAGATGCCATTCGATATCCTTTAATCTTTCTTGGCATTGAGGATTATTTAGTTCTTATGGAGAGGAGGATAGAGATTTATTTACCAACTATGTAAATGCTTAGAGATTTACATAAGAGGATAGGAGATGACAGGTCTATATCGATACTGGTCACCTATCTGTCTAGTTTAAACAGTCTAATATGAAGAAGCCTCAACCCAATAGTTGTGGTATTGGTAATAGCACTAGCAACAACAAGAGTAGTAGTATGGTCACTTGTTCCAAGCGTGGAAGGAAACATAGAGGAGAGTGCTTGTCGGGCACTAACACCTACTTTTTGTGCCAACAGCCCAGACACATGGTGAGGTCATGCCCAACCTTGGGCCAAAGACTTCAAGTTGATGCTAGAGTTAGTGCTCCACATACTCCGAGGAGTTTCAATAGATAGAGGACATTTGAGACGTTGGGATTAGCTCTAGCTCTGAGTCAGGCCCGTCTGGGTGTTTAGCCTAGAGTTTATGAACTGAATCAGCAGGAAGCAAATGATTCACTTAACATCATTATACTTATTTCTTCATCTTAATAAATGTGCCAAATCTTTATCTATATAGTGAGACTTTTGTATTTTATTTTATCATAGGTTTTATATATATTCAAAATATATTGGTTTTAACTTTATTTTATACTAGGACATCACATTCATTTATTTCTCAAGACTTTGTGAACTCTGAAGGATTAGAAACTTTTTAGAATACTTGATGCTTTATTAGTTCTTCTACCTAATGGGTTTCACATGATTGTTGATAGAAGTTGTAGTGTGAATCTGATCATATGATATAGAAGTTTCAAGGTGAATTTGATAGTACTGCCACTTACCGAGTTTAAAGTGATCCCAGGGATGCATTAGCTTTCTAATCACTTCACAACTATTGATTGCTCTAAAAATATGATTATATTCAATATCCAGATAGAAGAATAAGTTAATTTTGTGAGCGATTGAGGAGCAATGTATATGATGATATCAAATTTAAGGGCATGCAATTTTTTAGCAAAAATATATCAAGGTCTTTTAGCTCGAGTTATTGACATCATGAAAGAGAAAAAAATGTTAGAGGATATATCGGCAGTGAAGGAGCATCTAGGAGTCTTCTTAGAAGATTTATCAGGTTTGCCTCTAAGAAGATAGATAGATTTTCCTATTGATTTAATACCGAGTGCAGAACTAGTGAATGCACCTTATAAAATGTCAATGAAGGAGCTATAAGAATTGAAGAGTAAGTTGTTGGACTTATTGGGGAGCTTCAATGCTTTTTGTTAAGAAGAAAGAGGAG